AAAAAAAAAAAAAAAAAAAAAAAAGTGGCTCCAAAGTTTATGGAATTTGCAGTGTTTTGTCTTTTTGTTACCTTAGCAGTACTGGGTACTGGGAGGGTCAAACCCTGGGACACTCTACCTCTGAGCTGCATGTCCAGCCCTTTTCATTTTTTGAGACAAATTTTTGCTAAATTGCCAGGGCTGGCCCAGAGCAAAGGTCTTCCTAGCCTAGCTTTCTGAGTAGCTGGGATTACAGGCAGGGACCACCGCTCCCAGCTAATGTTTGGTGTTCATTTATTCATATTTTTCTCTCTGGATGCAAAAAAAAAAAAAAAAAGCATAGCTGGTTTTGGTGGTGGACGCTTGTAATCCAGGTCTCCTGGAGACTGAGGCAGGGGGACTGCAAAATTTGGGTGCGACCTGGGTAATGTCCCTCAAAACAAAAAATAAAAGAAGGGGATTTGGCTCAGTGAGTGCAAAGAGCTCCAATCCCCTGCACCTCCATCAGAAGGGAAAAAAAGAAACGAAAAGAAACAAAACCAGTTTGTGTTGTGTTTTGGAAATGTGCAGTTCCTTACTAATCAGGTATCAGAACACTTACCACCCTGCCTCTGTTTACCTTTGGAGAAAAGCATTTCTCCCAATTCGGGGGCCTGGAAACCAGGGGGATTTCCTACGCTCTGCGCCCACCGCTCTGAACGTGCAGGGGAAATTTCTGCCCCTACTAACTCCAGGCATCTGGGCAATATCGACGGCCTGCGCCAGGCTCAGGGCCACGCTGAGGATAAACCGGCTCGGGGCTTGCCGAGCCCCAAAGCGAACAGTGGGGGCTGCAGAACACCGCGCCGGGGACGCGAGGGGCGGGACAGCGGCCTAGCGGGGCTCCGCAGAGGGAGGAGGGGCCCGGCCTGGGGACGCTCCGGTGCCCGGCCCGGAGAGGCTGTGCTCGACGACAGCAGGTGAGCTTGGGGACATCAGTTACGGCAGCGGGGAGAGAGACAGACGGAGAGAGGGAGTGGGGAGAGAAGGGGAGACCTAGACAGGACGAGCAAGGAGACGGGGTCAGAGGAGGGGAGAGGAGAGACGGAGACGCAGACGCAGACGCAGGCGGGACGCCGAGGCAGTAAGATCCCAGCAGCGGGGGCCCGGGGAGAGGGAACGGCTGCGCCCCGACATCCCCAGGAGCGGAGCTCACGGATGCGCCCCCGGCCTCCCGCTCTCCTTTCCCTTCGCCCCGGGCTAAGTTCCTGCCCCGGGCCAGGGTCGGTCCGCCCCGCTCGGTTCCCGTTTCTCAGCTCCCACCGGGCAGTCGGGACAGGACGGATCCAGGCTCCCCCATCTGCAGGGCCGACGGGACCCCCGCCCCTCCACCAGCCTCCCCGGCCGTTTGTGTCTTCAAGGCACCGACTTCACGACGATCCTAATTAGGCAGCTTTGCACAGAGATGTCTTAAAGCGTTCTTTTAACCTTTATTTTTCTTTTTGGTACCGGGGATCAAACTTGGGTCCTTGCGCTTGCGAGGTAGGCAGCGGAACCACTGAGCTAAATCCCAGGCCCTCCTCTTCTTTTTCTTTGTTGAGACGCGCGTCTAGCTCTGTGCTACCAGGGCTGGCCGCAACTCCCGGGCTCCAGCAATCTGCCTGCCTCAGCCTCCCCAGCAGCGGGGACTTCAGGCGCGCGCCCCATGCCCGCACTTATTTCATATTTCTTAAGCCGCTGACCCCGCTGGCCTTTTGCGAACCCCCATCCCCTTGGGGGGAAGGGGCTGATCACTGCAATCACCGCCACTGCCGTTCACACCCGGTGCCCCTTGGGGAGCAAACCCCGCCTGGCAGGATGTTTGTGCCAGTGCCTAGGGCAGAATTTGAAGGGAACTGAACGGGCGCGTGGCGCCACAGAACAACCCCAGAAACCCCGGGAATTAGGGACGCAACACCGAGCTGGGAACACGCCTGGAATCCCAGCTCTCAGGAGGCTGAGGCAGGAGAATCGCTGCGAATTGGAGGCCATCCTAGGCTTTGTAGTTCAAGGCCCGCCTGGGCTACACAGCCAGATTCAGCTTCTCAGGCCGACAGCTGCGGGAAGGTCGAAGCCCGCCTGGCGGGAAATGTTCGTGGTCCACACTGAGCTCGTGGCGCGCGGAATCTACGCGCTATAGCCTGGGCTCACCCTCCGCGCGGGAGGGCAAGGGCGCAGGCGCGGGGCTTGCGAAGGGGCGGAGCCTAAATTAGGCCGGACTGACTGCTCCCTGGGGGCGGGGCCTCCGTGGGCGGGGC